ATCATCATCATCGCCACCATCACCATGAAGGAGGAGGAGGGGGATGGGTGATTGAGAGTGGAGGGGGAGATGGGGGATGGAGGAATGAGGATGGAGGACCCCCGAGGCAAGTATATATCTCCTATGGCCGGTTTGCCTGCGCGCCACGCGGTCGAGCCCCGTCCGTCGGAAAGCCCATCGGCCAGCATTGAGATGGGGGTTTTGTGGTGCAAGAAATCGACATCGGTAACAGCATCGACATCGACGCCAGTAGAGACATCGAACTCGATAGAAACATCGACATCGATATCCGTTGCCTTAGGCCCGAGCGGAGAGCTGACTCCAGTTCAAAGGCTTGACGCACTACGTCTAGCAGAAGTGCAGGCCCCCGCGCCGCAGGGGGGGCTTGGCGAGTGCCTCGGCTGATCCCATACGCGAGGAGGGGCTGGGAGGTTGGTAAAGGGGTGAGGGTGGAAGAGGGAGGAGAGGGGGGAAGAGGGAGAATGGGGGGGGCAGGGGGGAGGGCGGGGGAAAGGGGGGAGGGCTCGGGGAGGTGTTGGCCAGAATCGAGGCGCTGGAGGCTCTCGCGATGGCTCGCCACGTGGAGACCATGAATCGCATCGGGGAGATTCGGAGCAAAGTTCGGCGCTTGGAGCGAAAGATATGCATCGAACAGGGGTCGGGGTTCACCTCGCCCTCCGAGGAGAAGGGCGAGGACAGCGATAGCGGTATGTTCCAGGACGACTATGAGGATGAGGAAGAGGAGGACAGTGGAGGTGGTGAAGGTGGAGACGGTGACGAAGACGCCGAGTGCGATGGACCCGCCAGCGACGACGCGCGGACGCCAGACCAGCATCGGGCCTCGAGGCGCGCGGCAGCGGCTGTGCAGGCAGCGGCTGAGGAGGACTCGGACTGAGCGCCCTCTTGAAGCATATTCTCGTCGTCATGTTGACGGGCCTCAGATTTTCACACACGGCTTTGTATAATATAGTGCCCAATGGAAGTGATGTGCAGGTGTGTCGAGTTCGCCCAGCAAGTGTTGTGCGCCAGTTTTGCAAGCCGCCTCAGAGCGACTCAAATACGCACGATGTGTGTGATCTGCTTTGCGAAAGTACCATCACATCGAAATCGTAAATCGAATGTCGACGTTCGAGATCTGATGCTGGGCGCATGCTGTGGAATTGTATTAAACCTTTCTGGGGCTACCATGGGGGCGTTTGCCGACAGACGGCATCGTCTCGGACCCCCCCCCCCCTTCCCGCTCGAATAAGCAAGCCCCGTCCCCTCCCATCGCGACCCGTCATCCGCTTCGAGTCGCGTGAATGCGGGACTTCACTTGCGGCCCTGTGTCTGCCATCATTCTCTGCGCCTGTGCAAGTTTGTGTTGCGGCATGCCGAAGGTAGCTTGCCAAGGTGCATCAGAGTGCGACAACGTTTCGCCCTCCTTCCGAAAACGCGCACCGCTGCGCGCGCGAGGGATGTGCATCGATGTCGACACGTGTGCATATAGATACATATATAGATATACAAACGCGCATGCATGCATACATGTATGCATATACACATACATACATATGCACATGCATGCATACATGCGTACACGCATGCATACATACATGCATATACATACCAATATAAATATATACACAACAACGTCTTGCATTCACCATGCATATATGCATTCCCACGCGCAGTCTCTAGTATCATCGCAGCCGTCGTCATCACCATCGCCATTCTTCCACAGCCGCTTCAGGTTCAGTGTTGCGAACATGAAGCGGGGCGCACCCGCCACGATCGACATCGATGATGAGACGAGGATGCAGCTGCGGTCGGAGCTTCTGGCCACTTCGCGGGGTTCGAAGGCGAGCGTCGCCCGCATCCTGCAGACGCTGAATCGGAAAGGCATGCTTAGGGGCGAGGAGCTCGGAGGACGAGATGAGCCACGCCAGTGCAGGATAGCAGCGGAGATGCATGGCCGCGCGAGGACGCCATGCGGACCTGTTGTGCAGACACTGGATGTCCCAGGCATCGGGCCGTGGGAATACGTACACCCATTTGCGTTTCTGCACTAGATGTCGACTATCAGCGAAAAGTTTGCCAATATGCTGTCTGCTGCGCTCGACAAGGCACCTCTGTGTACTTGTAGCTTGGTGTTTTACGGTGACGAGATGACGCCAGGCAACCCGTTGAGATCTGATGTTGGGCGCCAGTTGTGGAATTTTTTAATACACCTTTCTGGAGCTACCAGGCTGGCTCCTCCATAGAACGGGGGGCTGGTTTTGCCTGGGCGGGGTTCGCACCAGGCTGGCGGAGAGAATTCCTGGGGGAGTGAGCGCCCTCTTGAAGCAGATTCTCGTCGCCATGTTCGTTGACGGGCCTCATAACTTCACACGCGGCTTTGTAGTTCCCCATGGGAGTGCCGTGCGGGTGTTTCGTGCTCGCCTGGTCGGTTCTATGGCTGATGAAAAAAAGGCCACAAAGAGTTCTTGGCCATTAAAGGGGCGGCAGGGCTGAAACCCTGCATCTCGTGCATGAACGCGGTGAACGTTATCCACAAGACTGGCTACGCCGACGGCCAGTACACCGTCGGACTGGACTGCGTAGATAAATCGAAGCTCAAGCAGCTGGACGACGACACGTTCTGGAGAATGCACGAGATCTTGGCATCGCAGGTCGGGCAGATATCGACGTCGAAGGTGGAGGCGCTCGGAACGAAGCTGGGCATTAGTTATCATGAGCATGGGATGCTGTGCGATCCTCGTTTGAGAAGCGCGCTGCGCCCCGTGAGTAATTACATCAGGGATTGGCAGCGCACCCTGGTATCGCATGGCCTTGCGGGGCTTCAGATTGCGGCGCTCACATCGTGTTTGAAGAGGTCGAATATCGATATGTATGAGATTGCCGCCTACGCACTCTTGTACATCCATCCCAAGTTGACCGCGTCACCTCCCGAGCCAGAGTGGTCCACGGAGAACTTCATAGCGAACGACCACGTGAAGCTGTTTGCGAGCGACGTTCTCGGACTTTGCCCGTTGTTGCTGGCATTTCTTCGGGACAGGTGCTCTGGCCGCGTGCCCGCGGACCACGTTCGATGTTTCGAGCTGTTAACGTTCATGTTGGGGCTCCTATCAGGAGAGGACGATATGACGGGCGCATTGCACGCCACGCTTCCGGGGGCCACTGCAGAGCACGCGGTGCTGTTTCGCCGATTGTACCGTACGTTTATCAAGGTGAAGTTTCATCATTTGGTGCACGTGCCCGACGACCTACTGCGACTGGGCAGGGTGGTTTCGTGCTTTGCGCCAGAACGGAAACACAAAGACGTGAAGACGACCGTGGTACATGTTTACAACCAGGTCGAGCACACGACAACGTTTGGATATTTAAACTGTTACGTTCAAGACGTTGTCGAGGGGCGGTTCCAGTTCGACGAGCAGTCTATATCGACGTCGAAGCGCCGTAAACTCGATATCACAGGCATCCAGATGGATACGTCTACAGCGGCTGCGTTGAAGTGTGGTGGCGTGAAGAGGGGCGGCTACGTGCTCATCCGCACTGGCGGTGCACTTCGTTTGGGTAGAGTTGTGTTGTTCTATGCGATGGGCGATTTCATCACAGTCCACGTGCGGGAGGCTACCGCTGTGGACCCTGGGACTTGGACCATCTGGGATGAATCGGCGACGCCAGACGTGTTCTTGGACCCGACGTCGATTGTCAAGCCCGTTGTATACATGCGCATTCCACCATCGACCGTGAAGATCATCGTGCCTTACTATCATGGCAGGGTCGCGTAGCTGAAAATTAATAAACAAAAAAAGATTGTCGACAAAAAAAACACACAAGTCGACTGTCGAACAAACAAAGTCGACTGTCGAAGCCGCCCCCTTCTCTTCCTCCGTCGTTCATTCTTCCTCATCATGCATTGCGCCATCCTCCACTCCACTTCCCCATCTTCGTCGTCGCCGTAGTCGTCGTCTTCGAGGAGGGAGGAGGGGGGGAGGAGGAGGAGGAGGAGGAGGGCGAGGGGGGAGGAGGAGGAGGAGGAGGAGGAGCCCCTCCCCCCCCCCCCGACGCGGGGCCGCCTTGGACACGGGCGGCTCTCCAGCCCAGGCCGCGACCCGAGAGGGGCGATTATCTTCGCGCCCCCGTGCACCGCCCCGTCCTCTTCCCCTTGCATCCATTGATCTTCCCTCCAACATATGCACCTATAATGCGCATACATATTATGCGGTATGCCCATTGTACACATATATATATAGTACATGAATACACATAATACCTCCTCCTTCTCCTCCTCCCTCCTCCCTCCTCCCCCCATTCCCCCCCGCCCCCCCTCCTTCCCCTCCCCCCTCCTCCCTCCCCCCCTGCCCGTCGCCCGCCAGATGGCGAAGCGCGCGCTGAAGGACGCCGCCGCAACCGCAACTGCGCCCGCGACCAGGCGCAAGGTGGAGGGCGTAACGCGCGCTAGATACGATTACGACGTACGCGTACGATGTAGATATTGGTATTTCACACATCGCCCATACTTTTTGAACATAAAAAATATAAGCTACGAGCCGAGCCGCCTTGCATTTTTATGTGTGCAAAGTCAGAGCCTTAATTTAATCATTTTTGTGTTTTTTTGTGCTTTTTGTGCTGCGTCCGCGGCTTTGTGTGTTCCAGTAAGTGCCCTATGCGGCCCGTCCAACCTGCGGCCGTCGGGAAAACACAGGGCCAGCATGCCCCAGGAGGGCGCCATCAGGGGCTTTTAAGAGGATCCCGAACCGACACTTTTCGAGCCCTTCCCCTAAAGCTGAGCCCCGAGACCGCCAGCAGGCCCCCCAGGAGCACCAACGACCCCACGACCCTCCCAAGAGGCCCCCCAAAAGCCCCGAAGTGGCCCACGAGAGGCACCCCAACAGACCCTCAGAAGCCTCCCGCGTACGTAGATTTCTTGTCCGTGACCTCGGCACGGCTGCGCAATCGGCGAAAGGCCACTAGATAGCCGCATGGGCCGGCGGAGTGAGCGAAGCAATGGAAACAATGTTTTCGCGCACTGTCAACTGACGACCATCATCAGCCCCAGCTGAGCCCCCCGCATCCCGCTGAGCAGCGCCAGAGCCCGGTGCCACAGATCGCCTTTCTCGCACGCGCTGGTCGAAGCGCCCTAGCGCATGACGTCGGGCTCCAACGTCGCCCCGCCAATCTCGCTGAGCAGTGACAGAGCCCTCTGCCACCGCTCGCCTTCTCCACATGCGCCGGCTACATCCATCTCTTCCTCATGTTCATCATAGTATGCCTCCTCCTCCTCCTGCCCCTGTTCCGCCTCCTCCTCCTCCTCCTCCTGCTACCCCGTCTCCCCTTATTTCCCTTTCGTCGCTCCTCGCCCCTGCTCCCGCCTTGCGCGAGCGAGGTGGGGGGAAGGCGAAGGAGGAGGGAGGAGGGAGGAGGGAAGGGGAGAGGGGAAGAGGAAAGAGGAGGGAAGGAGGAGGGAATGAGGAGGGAAGGAGCCAGACACGAGGAGGAAAGGGGAGGGAGGATGACGAAAGGATGAACATCAGAGGAGGGAGGACGAGGAAGATAGGGAGGAGAAAGCAGCGTGTTAGGAGGGGGAAGGGGGAGGAAGAGCGAGGAGGGGGGAGCAGGGGGAGCAGGCTGACGCCCCAGCGCTGTAGCTGATGGGCTCCAGCTTCGCCTCCCACATCCCGCTGAGCAGCGCCAGAGCCCGGTCCCGCCCTCTGCCACCGCTCGCCTTCTCCTGACGCGCTGGCTTCATTCGACTCTCCCTCTTCCTCCTCCTGTCTCCACCTGCTCCTCCTCCTCCTCCTCCCCTCCCCCCATCCTCCTCCTGCTACCCCGTGACCCCTCATTTCCGTTTCGTCGCTCCTCGCCCCTAAAGCCCCTAAAGCCCCTAAAGCTCCTAAAGCCACTAAAGCCCCGAAAGCCCCTAAAGCCCCGAAAGCCCCTAAAGCCCCTAAAGCCCCTAAAAACCCTAAGGCCCCTAAAGACCCTAAAGCCCCTAAAGCCCCTAAAGCCCCTAAAGCCCCTAAAGCCCCTAAAGCCCCATAAAGCCCCTAAAGCCCCTAAAGCCCCTAAAACCCCTAAAGCCCCTAAAGCCCCTAAAGCCCCTAAAGCCCCTAAGGCCCCTAAAGCCCCTAAGGCCCCTAAAGACCCTAAAGCCCCTAAAGCCCCTAAAGCCCCTAAAGCCCCTAAAGCCCCTAAAGCCCCTAAAGCCCCTAAAGCCCCTGAAGACCTTCACGCGAGTGGGGGGGGAGAGGGAGGAGGGAGGAGCAGGGGGGGCAGGCTGAAGTCCCAGCGCCGTAGCTGATGGGCTCCAGTTTCGCCTCCCACATCCCGCTGAGCAGCGCCAGAGCCCGGTGCCACGGCCCGCGTCTCTCGCACGCCCGTGGAAGTTCTGGGGGTTCTGGGTTCAGCCTGAGGCCGTGCGCGGTCAGCAACCGGTTGCTTGAAGCCCTAAGAACATGTAAATGAAAGAGTGGGAGAGGGAGCAGGGCGCAGCGAGAGGGCGGGAGGGGACGAAGCGAACTGGATGTTTGTAGAAGCATATGTTGATACACACGTTCCCTCCTGAGTTCGCGCGGAACGACGCGCCACCCTTGAAAGCTCAGCTGGTCTCTAGCACGGGGGGGGGTGAGGGTTGGCAAAAGAGGGTTAGGACACGAAGAAGAGGAAGAATACTCCATTACTCATCTCGTCCCAGTGCTGCGACTGGTGACGGGGCAATCCGAAACCATTCAAAGGCCATCCGAGGCTATTCGAAGCAGTCTCGAAACCATCTGAAAGCATCCAGGCGAGATGAATGCAGGAAGTGGGGAGGCGGACCTGACAGGAGGCAGGACGCAGGAGGGCAATGATGCAATGAAAGAGGACGCCTTTCTCGCTCGCGCTGGTCGAGGCGCTCGAGCGGATGGCATCGGGCTCCGGCTGTGCCCCGCATGTCTCGCTGTCCAGTGACAGCGCCCTCTGCCACCGCTCGCCTTCTCGCACGCGCTGGCCACATCATACTAGCCGCGTCACCCCTCATTTCCGTTTCGTCGCCCCTCGCCCCTAAAGCCCCTAAAGCCCCTAAAGCCCCTAAAGCCCCTAAAGACCCTAAAGCCCCTAAAGCCCCTAAAGCCCGTAAAACACCTAAAGCCCCATAAAGCCCCTAAAGCCCCTAAAGCCCCTAAAACCCCTAAAGCCCCTAAAGCCCCTAAAGCCCCTAAAGACCTTCACGCGAGTAGAGGGGGGGAGAGGGAGGAGGAAGGAGGGGACGGGCAAGGAGGAGGGAAGGAGACAGACACGAGGAGGAAATGGGAAGGGAGGATGACGAAATGAGGCAATCAGAGAGGAGAGGAAGAGGAAAATGAGGAGTAGAGAACAGAGCGTGTTAGAGTATTAGAGGAAGGGGGAGAGAAGAGGGAGGAGGGCAGGAGGGGGGAGGAGGAAGAGGGAGGAGGGGAGAGCAGGGGGAGCAGGCTGAAGTCCCAGCTCCGTAGCTGATGGGCTCCAGTTTCGCCTCCCACATCCCGCTGAGCAGCGCCAGAGCCCGGTGCCACTGCCCGCGTCTCTCGCACGCGCTGGCCGGAGCGCTTTAACTGATGACGTCGGGTTCCAGCTTCGCCCCGCCAATCTCGCTGAGCAGTGACAGAGCCCTGAGCCACCGCTCGCCTTCCCCACACGCGCCAGCTACATCGTACTGGTCATTATCATCCTCCTCATCATAACCATCACCACCGCCACCATCATCATGATCATCATCATCATCATCTTCATCATCAGTTTGAGGAGGCTGAGAAGATCTGCTGCCACTGCTCGCCTCTCTCGCACGCGCTGGTCGAAGCGCATTAGCTACGGTGGAGGCATTGGATAAGGAAACCTTGGATAAGGACTCCAGGGTCTGGAAGCCAGTGGAACTCCAATTGTTTTTTTTTTCTTCGCATTCGCCAGACCGCAGGTCTCGAAAAACCCGGTCTTAAGTAACATTTCCGGCCTGGCCCCTGGGCAATAATTGTCTCGGGTGCTCTTTCGCTGTCCCTGCCACGTGCCTGATAGCGTCTCCGTATTCTTTGGTGGTCGGCTGCCCACGCAGCCCGGCTTTCCTCCATGTCCGGGGGCAGTGGCCATGCGAAGTTGTCGAGGCATCCAGCCGCCGTGGTCGACGTGGAAAAAAAAAAAATGGAACTCCAATTGTGGATCGGCCATGGGTATCGCCACCGCCCTCATCAGATAAGGAATCCTCCAGGGTCTCACGCCTCCTGGGCGCATTCCTTAACCAACGCCCCCACCGTAGGAACGTCGGGCTCCAGCTTCGCCCTGCCAATCTCGCTGAGCCCCCTGCCACGGTTCGTCTTCTTCGCACGTGCCAGCTACATCCTTAATATCCTCCTCCTCCTCTTCCTCCTGCCTCCTGCCTCCTCCTCTTCCTCCTCCTCTTTTTCCTCCTCTTCCTCCTCCTCCCTTTCTCTCTTCGTCCTCCTCTTACTCCTCCGCGTGCCCTGTTTCTAATTACCCCGTCATTTCCCATCCCCCATCTTTCGCCACTCCTCATCCCTCCGGCGAGGTGGGAGGGACAAGGGGGAGCGTTTTTTCCTCGGAGGCCCCAAGGCAGAACGTAACACAAAACTGAACAGATCGAGCGCGATACCGAATGTTGGCCCGGAAACGGCCCTTCAAACCCGAACGCACTGCTGACTAAGACAAGGGGGAGCGCGAAAAGGGAAAGGGGGAGGAGGGAAGGAAGAGGAACGAAGGAAGAGAAGAGAAATGGGGGAGGGAGGAAAACGAAAGGATGAAATCTGAAGAGGACGGAAGAGGAAAATAACAACGAAAAAACTGAGGGTGGAAAGGGGGAGGGAGGGAGAAGTGGAGGAGAGGAAGAGGAGGGAGAAACAGGGGGGAGGGAGGGGGAGGGGACACTGGTTGAGGCCCCTGGCTTCGTAGCCGAGGACTTCCGGCTCCAGCTTCGCATCCCGCATCCCTTACAGCAGCGCCAGGGCATGTTGCCACTGCGCGCCCTTCTCGCACGCTTAGGTGATGACGTCGGGTTCCAGCGTCCACCGCACGTCGCTGACCCACGCCGCGGCCCGCTGCCACTGCTCGCCCTACTCCCACGTGCTGACCCCAATAGCTGATGACGTTAGACCCCGCGCTGGCCCCTCGATGGCTTGAACCACAGAAAGGCTTGAACCAAAATGGCTTGAACCAGAATGGCTTGAATCACAGAGGCTCGGATGCTCGGGCTCGCGTGGCCACCCAAGTGCGCGCGGGCCCCGCACGCGTAACAGTCGACTCCAACACCCAGCCAGAGGGAGAGTGCTGACAAATAACAAGACAGAAGAATGACGCTGGCTGCCGACGGAGGACGATGATAAAAAAAACGTGAGAGGAGCATGGCCGACGCACTGAGCAGCAACACCGGACTGCGGGAACGATCACCGGTGGATTATGCTAAGATCCGCGCGACGTTTATGATTAAATTGAGGCTCTGACTTTGCGCACATAAGCATTTTGATGAGAGTTCTAGGGTCTTCACTGTTAATGTACATGTTACCAGACAATAGCCAGAGCACCGTTATTTCAAAATTATGTTGTTGTCGGTGGATCCAGAACAAACGCTCTTTTGTTACCAGAGCAAAATCTGGATCACAAGTTCTCAACATATTTGTTGGTGTTGTGGATGGCCAGGTGTCGCAAACATGTTAAACACCGTTCTTAATCATTTTACAAAATTATGTTAAACGATTAAACATAGGTTGAAATCGTCGACTTATAAGTCGAAACAGTTCGGCTTAGTAAGTCGAACTACGTCGACTTAGTAACTCGAACGTTCGACTTAGCTAACTCGACTTAGGCCGACTTAGTAATGCGAGTTAGGTCGACTTAGCTAAGTCGACTTATAACTTGATTATAACTCAATTACTAAGTCGAAGAGTTCAGGGCTAATTGAGTTAAGTATAAGTCACCTAACTTGGTTATAACCCGACTTATATTTCAACCTCTTAAGTCTGCTTTTTTTGTAAAAAACAGATAAAACATAAATCAAAGAGCTCTGATAAGGCATTAGAGGTTGACTTATAACTCAGACGCTGCCAGTCACTATTAAACGCGCCAGTTTATAACTTAGTTATAACTTAGTTATACCTTAGTTAGAACTTAGTTATAACTTAGTTACTAACAAGCGTCCTCAACTTATATCTAAGATATAACCCGCCGTTCATCTCAGCGATCTCGACGCAGTCGGGTCGGGAATTCGAAGAATTCTCCTTCGTGACTTCTACCGCGTGATCTGCGTCGGGGGCTGCAAAGAAGAAGTCGTGCTGTGCATGCTCGATGTCGATCGCCGGCAGTGAAGCCTGCTGCCTCATGAACTGCCAACTGGCATACTCCTGGGTCGCGTCACTGTCCAAGTCGCTGTCGTCATCTTCTATCAGCGGAAGCACCGGCTCATGCAGTGGTGCCGTAGTTTCCGTTTGCTGCCTCAGTTAAGCCTCGAGCTCCACGATCACGGTCTGGAGCATCGCGCGATCGCGATCCCTCCCGCGGTCCACTGCCTGACTTCGTCGGCGGCACGACGTCGTTGTCCACTGTCGGAGTTGGGGGGGATTCTCGCGGTCGAGGTCGCCGTCGTTCGCTCCAGCTCCTCGCGAGGTCAGAAGCCGTAGTCGATGTCGCCGCGCCCGGGGTGCTGCTCGATCTCCGCGTCGTCCTGCTGCGCGTCAAGGTTGAGCTGTCTGCTGATGAGCTCTGCATCGTAGCACTCGCCTGTCTCGATGCACTTGATATGCTCGTGTCGGGTATCGGCATGTCGAAGTCCTCCTCCTGAGGCTCCGGTGGTTCCTGATATGGTCGTGGCATGGTTGCTCTGGCTGCTCATCGCGCTGCGCGCGTGGAAGATTGCCGAACCGTGCGCCTCCAAGATGTGGTACTTCGGGCTCACGTCGCCGCAGTTCTCGAACATATTCGTCATCAGTCATGATGAGCTGCACGAAGCTGACGTCCTGCCAGTCGCCCTTGCCGAAGATCTGCGCCAAATTCAATCGAGCGGAACCCGCCGTCTCGCGATGCCAGGACAGTTCCGGGCGGCCGCGCCGCCACCACCACAAAAAACTATGACCACATCCGACCACACCTTCGAGAACTGATACGCCATTGCCCACTCGGGCGCCAATGCAGCCCGCCAGGCGGAAGCCGCTGGCGGCGACGTGGAGCACCGCCAAGACCAGCTCGCTGAGCTTCTTCCTGTCCGCGGTCCGCCTCCACTCGGCGTCGAAAAGCCACCCGATGCGCACGACCTTGCTGTCCAGCTGGCTTGCGTAACTCATGAGGGTAGACGCCGGGTCGCTCGATCCAGCCTCGAAGACGATATTGTTCGTGAACATTACCAGGTACACGCGGCTGCGTCGAAGGTCCTGAGGTCGCACTTGAAATACTCGGCTCTGCCATCTCACGAGTACTGGAGGTCCGACCTGCAACAAGTTAGCCGGGCCGCGCCACCTCGACTCCTCCTTCGTGCTCGGCGGCCTGTGGAAGTCAACCTGGTCGTCGACCGCTAGCTGCTGTGTCTCGTGAGGAGCGCGCGTCTTGGATCGCAGCGCGCGCCGTAGTCTGTCCTTCGCGGACATCTCCACCATATATATTGCATTGCCACTTCGCGCAATCGATGATGGTGTCGTGAGGTGCCCGGGATGCCAGCAGCCTGATCGTCAATCTGACAGTCGCCCACCGGCTCGAATTCAGCAAGCAGTGGTGGGAGCCGACCGTGCACCGCTTGGTAGGGGCTGTAGCCCGCCACGGTGATGAGGAGGTTCTTGACGAGCGCGCACTCCGAAATCACGATCTCCAGCGGCATCACAATGCCCTCCTCATCGAGCTGGCCGCGCACGCGGTGAATAACCTTGCGCGCCAGGTCGTGGTGGCGTTCCACCAGCTGCGCGTGCGAGACCTCCTCCTTGGCCTTCATCTCGATGCCCCAGCGGTCGAGCCACTGGCTCGCCTCCTCGCCGTGGAGGCCACCCTCGATGTCGGCAATCAGCGCACCTTCATTGGGCCATGAGGTCGTAGCCAGCCGTTGGTGATGCCGGCAATGATCACGATCGCCGTCTTGCGGTCCAGGATGTGCAATACTGTCCAACGTGTCGCTTCGTCAATCAGATGGGCCACCATCTGGTCGCCGATGAAGAGGACGTCCCACTGCACCATCTCGTTGAGACCCGTCGCAAGACGAGAGACCGTCATGCTCTTTGGTCCCGGCCTCGTCCATATCCTGCACACCCGGCACGTGTCGCAAATCTCCTTCACCAGGGCCAGAGTGGACGCAGGAGCGCCAGCTTTGGTCAGCAGTTCTCTAAGAGGAACCGCTGGGGCGTGCCAAAATCGCACATGGAGTCGTCGAAGCTGGCGTCGAACAACTTCCTGACGCGGGCTGTGAAGTAGTCGTAGGGCATGTCCGAGGTCGAACGCGATCCAGCCTGGCTCGTCGCTGCCGCGAGCCTGCGTGCCTGCGTCCACACCTTGAGCTCGTCTGGCCAGTGCTCTGGCGGGCTGCTCCTCGGCGGGTGCCTCATCGACGGAACCAGCTGCCGCCACAGCTGGCTCCGCCTCTCCAGCTGCGGGCAGTCGTCGGGCTGGAGGTCCTGCAGCGCCTCTTGCTCGACATCGCGCACCTGGCTGTAGTGGTTATGATGTTCGACGTGCCGCATGTGGAGGTGGAGGCGGTGGTGGTTCTGGTTCGGCGTCCAGCGAGTCCGCTCGAGCGGCGCCCGGCGCCTGCCTCGTCGTCGGCCCCTCGGATGCTGGTGGTTGAAGCGGTCGAAGATCTCGAGGTCCAACTGCTCCCAGAGGAACTGCGTCTGCTCGACGCTCTCCAAGTATTCGGGCATGTCGTGGGTCTGTGGCCGCGCGCCCAGTCTGGCACGCCGGACACTTCAGCTCGCGCGATTTCACAAATCGGTGTTTGCATGTCACCCCGCGATCATGGAAGGGGTGGTCCGCCGTCCGACGTCGTCGACATCCTGGGCGCATCGCCCGTGCCGCTGGCGCCGCTGCGACCAGATCTGCCGCTGCCCCTGCGGCTGAGGCTGCTGCTGCTGCAGCTGCTGGGGCTGGATCTGCTGCTGCCCCGGCGTCGAGGAGGAAGAGGAGGCGGCGCGGCCTGATTGGACCGCGACCGAGGGGTAGCACTCGAGCGCGACGAGATGTTGCCCCTGGTTACTCACAATCTCCACCATGCGGGAGATGCTCATGGCCAATTCCCGACAGACGCCGATTGCCCAATCCGCGTGATCCATGGTCATCTCAAGGCGCCACCTGTCCTGCTCCGGGTTGGGTCCTCGGCCGCCGTTGGCCAGCAAGGCATGCTCGTGCCGGCCATCGCAACGAAACTTCCAGAGTCCAGCGATCAGCCGCTCATCCGAGGCCCAGAACTCGGAAGCCTTCTTGATCGGCAGTCCGGTTCGCAGCCCAACCTTGCCGGCCATGCACTGGTCGACTTGGCGCCGCATCACCTCGTAGTTGTTCGCGATGCGTTGCCAGCCGTCGAGCTTGTAGAAGTCGCTGCCGAGCGGCTGCTCCGAGATGAAGTGGCGGCCGGCGTCCATCTGCGCGCGTTCCGCTGCCGCGGCGACGCGGGCCAACCCCGCTGATGTCCTGCGACTGCGAAGCCAGCCGCTGTGGTTGATGACTCTGTTCAGCGCCGAGAAGCCCTTCAAGCCCGCGCAGGGCGTGCTAATCAGTAGAATGAGGCCTACTCTGGTGCAAATACTCCCAGAACTGCCTCTCGCCCTCGTGCGACAGCAAGTCGCATCCGCAGATGATGTCGAAATTGGGATCACCTCGATTCCCTAGTCGCACGAGTAGCCGTGTTGTCCCAGAAGAACCACCGCACAACTCCGCAACGTCGTCGTGCTGCATGTGGCCGTAGTAGTATTCTATGTGCCTTACCATGTCGTTGGGCGTGCTGAAAAATTGCGCCGTTCGTGTTTCTCGCTCGAGTGTGCCTCC